CCCCAGCCAGCAGCCCCCAGGCTGGCTGGGGAATTCTGGGAGATGAAGTCCACCCATCTTCAAGTGGCCAAGGTTGACAAACACTGCACTAGACCCTTCGACAGTGCGAATGGTTTGTTACGTGTAGGCATCTGGTGGGTAGAAACTCCAACAACTATTTACCGAGCCTGGAAGGCCTGTTTGCCCTGACAATGTGGAATGAATTTAGCAGCTGGAAAACTTTCATAAAAAATCACAGAAACGAAAAGGGGTGGAAATACTTTGCTAAGGGGAGGGGTCTCTTTTGCCGCCGCAAGCAGAGTATCAGCAGTTGAGGCATTTGCTACGGTGGTGGCCTAAGCGCGTGTTTTTCTTTGGTTTTCATACTGATATTCATAATTTATTAAACTCGCACGCTGCCCGACTCTCAACAACTCCGGGCGGCTGACCACACTCAAAGAAACTGCAGTAAAATCAATAACAACTAAAGATAAGAGATGGCAAGCGTGATGACCCTATCTTTCTTCAAGACAGTTGTACTTTCTTCATTTTACCTTCAAAAGAACCCTTGGGGGGGGATTAACATGAGAAGTGGGACAATGGCTAAGCCCCTTGGTGCATTTTTGTGCCTGAAGAGCAACCAGACCTTGATTTTTCTGAACCAGAGCTGTGGATGGTGCTGGTAATGGCATGATGAAAGGGCCCATTCCACTGCTGTGATCTTGCAGCCGACAACTGGAAACGGCAGAGCAACCTGCTAGGTTGCAAAATGGAAAGAGAAGTGAATGAGGATGAGCCATGCTGAAGGCAGCCAATGAGGGGTCAGGCATGGTATCTTCAATAATACACCCACTTCTGTGCAATAAAATGTCCCGCTTCTGCGTTCATTGGTTTAAAAAAGCCCAGTTCTGATTCTTAGGAGGACTGTGATGTGGAAACGCGCTCAAACTTTCAAAAATCCCACTTTTGAACATTTCCTTTAGGGTTGCAGAACAGCACCGACCTGCTCTTTCCATTTCTACCTGCCTGAGATGGGGGCAGTGGGCTCCTCAAAGTATTCAATGTAAAAATGCAGTGAAAGGGACCGGGTTGACAGGGTACCAGATCAGCCTTTCAGTTCTAAGCAAGGCTTTTTTAAAAGTGAAAAATAAATAAATAAATGGAATAAAGAGGGGTAGACAGATTCTGTGAAAGGGGGCTCTTAGTACAAGGATATCCCTTAATATAATACTGGGAAATCCAGCTTCAGAGGGCTGATGTTGACAATACCACTAAAATGTGGGTGTCATTAGGGCTGCGCCAGGCCAGCGCGCTGTGCTGTCTGTTGGCTTCAGGAACCCAGACCTGTTTTTAGATCAGAGTTTCCCAACCTGGGTAACTTCCAGTTGTGTGAATTTCAACTCCCTGAATTCCCCAGCCAGCATGGCCGCTGCTGAGAATTCTGGGAGTTGAGGTCCATGCCCCTGGCATGGGCTTGCCTGGATACTTGGAGCTCTGGTGTATATGAGTGATATGCTCCTGAATCCCAGATTCACTGTTGAATGCTTGCTTGTTTTCAAAAAGAGGTGGAGCAGCCAAATCCAGGCATCACTCCACGCTCTCCTTTGAAGATCGACGCTCTTGGAGGCAACCACCACCACCAGGTGAAAAGATGTTTGCATAATGAGTGAGTGCCCAGAAAGAGAAAATTGCTAGCCTGGATTATCTGGATTTCATCTGCAAGAATGTATTTATTTTGTTTCATTAGAGCTTCAAAGACTAAGATGGCAAAAAACATGATCGCTCTGAGAGGGCTGCAGAGCCTGCTGCAATTCTGGGTTACATGTCTTTAAAAGCAAGCATTTCTGAGTGCTAGTCATGTTTGGGTGATGATGGTTGGCTTACCCTGGATGCTGGTCCTTTTCACGGACTCTCTTCTGCTCTGTCCTTCCCAGAAACCAGGCAGTGAAAATCCAAGAGAACCGCTACCGTCACCCGGCTTGCTACATTTGCACCGACTGTGGGCTCAACCTGAAGATGCGTGGCCATTTCTGGGTTGGTGAAGAGATGTACTGCGAGAAACACGCGCGCCAGCGTTACCAAAGCCCAGGAGAGGGCGGCACCGTCCTGGCCGTCTACTCCCAGTCTTAAGTGATACGGGAGCTCACGAGGCTGAGCAGGAATACAATCTGTGACGCTCCCTTGGAGGATTCTGCCAAGTATCTAGCAAAGCTGCTTCTCACTCCACCGCAGTTCAGCCCATGAAGACATCTGCAGGAAACGACGCTTCCAGTGCAAGACAGCAACTCAACCGCCAACCATCACCACTCAGAACACCATGCAGTGTTTTCCAGGGACCTTTGGGGGTGGGGGGTGTTGAGGGAGGGGGAGGGTATTCCTCAAGGCAAATGGCTTATCTTCTTTTTTAACTAGCTTGGGCAGGTTTGGGGCCTCTTTCTTCAAGGAACCAATGTTTGCCTAGCACAGGCGTGGACAGTTGGCTCTTGGCAGCTTCAGAAATGATGGCTTGGCTTGAGGCAGTTGGGCTTCCCACCGTGCCAAGCGTGCCTTGGTTCCTGGACACACTCTGGAATGTAATTGTCAGGCCCATATTAATCCTGATCTGTGGCCAGCAGCTCTCAAGTGGCTCTTAAGAACTCCGCTGTGTGGCTGAAGCACCCTTGTCTTACCCCTGCTGCCCACCTCCCCATGCCCACAGGGCAAATCTAAGACTGAAGGGAAGTTATAGAGTCTCTCTGAAGCGCTAGGCCCTGGACGGCATGGATTCAGCTCTGAATGCTGACTCTCTCTGTGAAGCTTCCCTTACGATATTAAGGCAGATCTCTATGTGAAATATAATATATATATATATATAAGGATGGATAAAACACTCACCCCATGCCTGCATTTGCTCTTTAAGTTCTACGCCATTTCTTTTCCCTCGGAGGTCAGGAAGGAGTTTTTGGAATTTCTAGCACAGCTAAATGCCCATCAATTAAAGAAGAAAAAAAACCCCTATCTAATAATCTTATGAGGTAGATTTGGCTGTGAGATATAACTACTTCAGGGTCACCTGAACGCTCTTTGATTAACATGGACATAGCCAGACTTTTATTGAGAGAGAGACACATATAGTTCCTGTATCACCTGAAACAGGGATGAGCGGTCTTGTTAGAATAGGGCAGTGTTTCTCAACCTTGGCCACT